TCTTAAATATCTGAGTTTTCGCTCTTTCAGTATGCCAACTTCGAAAAAGTGCGAAGCCAAATAAAATCCTAGATTCATAAAATGAATTGTATGCATTTTGACATAAAAGCAAAGATATAAACTGTTCAGACTCTGTCAAATGTTAAGTGAAATTCGCCATATAAAAGGATCCCCAAAATTGCCAACAGTTTTACTTATAGAGGCTGCAATATATTGATAAATTATGAACTCAACTCAAAAGTCCAAAATTATTAAATCTGGATGATATATTTTACAAATCGGCTAATTCTAAAAACGTGGAAGGCCTTTGCAAGGGAATAAACCGCTCTAAAACATGGACTGATTAAAATCTGACTGCAGTGCGTGTTCTTAAATGACTCTGAGTGTTTTCTTTCGATGTGCCAGTCACAGTGCATAACTTTATTTGTTTTTGTAAGCTTGTAATTTTTTTGAACAAGAAAATCCACCCAATCGAAATATCTACAAAAAAATTCTAAACAGCAAAATGCGATGGAATACAATTCAATCGCGTACGATTTTTCGAGTGCTATTGTTGCTCAGCTGCCGAATCGCGTCGTTGCATTGGAAATTTGATCAACAATTCAATATAAACGTTACGTATTTTAATAAAGTCATGGAATATAGCCGATTTTTAGATGAAATGATAAGAATTTATGCTCCTAGGCGGGCCACTTTCAATGAAACATAAAACAATGTAAAGTAATCCTACCTGTCAAGAGGTAATCCCACTATATGCTTCGTTGCTTGATCGCTTTGATTCTTTGAACTGAGTGCGGCAGTGTTTCATTTTACTATATGCATGCACCTGCTTATATACGCCGACTCCGAGTGAAACAGACAAATGATAAATAATTACTGCGGTCACTTATCAAATATGTGAATAATTTGAATAAAGCGCGAGGGAATTGGGAACAAATAAAGCCCCGACCGACAGCGTGGAAAAACGTCTGCGCATGAGCAGTAGAGTAAAAATGGCGACGAATTTAAATTTCATATTATTCAAAACACTGAAAAACATCGCCGATTATTCGTTCGAGAAAAGTGAGACAAACAAGAAAATACAAAAAACGGGTAGACTAGACCTTTAATTATAAGTCCTCTAACATTTAAATATATAAAGAAATATAAATTAAATACTTTTACGATTTCGGATTATTCAATTTTCATAAGTTGTTTTTTTTCTCATCCGACCATATTTTAGAAAGTATTAGATGTATTTTCCATCAAATACACTCAAAAGTATCTGAAATATTCGAGAATAACCGTCATGCTGATGTGCAGGCTAATATTTCGTATTCAGACCTCGATTTAAGGAATAATACTATGGTTCTATGAACTTATAACTACTTAAATATCACTTACTCGAACCGTCCTGACCGCGTAGCTCAGTTGGAAAGCATTGGGCTAGTATTCCAAAGGTCGTAGGTTCGAATCCCACCGTGGCCGGGCATATTTTTCAAGCTCGCCCGGTGTGGATAATACACTCAGAGTAACACCACAAATATCATTATTATAACTACTTGTTTAGTGATGCGATATTTTAGGGGGAAAAATGGAATTAGCTGGTGGAAATGGTTTATTAAAACTGTTTACGATATCATAGATATCGAAAGTCAATCCTTCATAAATATTGGAAGTCAATTTCCGCCATCTTATAACTTCACGTTCCTCATAGGCCGAATGACTGAAGTTCAGGCTTGCTCCATATATATACAGCTAATTCATAAAAAGGTTGTCCTTTGAAATAGCATCATTTAATCAGTTTAGAACTGATATATCAGGCCCATTTCTTAGAGCTGCAGTAGTTCAACTACTAAGCTCGAAACTTGTGCTCCCATTAACCTTTGCGGGCTTAGAGTTTACTGTTTTGCAACAGACAACCTTTTTTTTTGAATTGGCTGCATGTATATGAAGCTATTAACTGATTATAACTCGATCAAAAATCTAGACCACCCATCAAATGACGAATGGTTTAACTCCCAAACTGGATACTTCAAGTGTTTTGTTTTTTTTACTTTTATCTTTTTTAACCAAGATAAGCAAGGTTTATATCTCCAACGTGTCAGACTATGGGTTTAAGTTAAGTTTTTGTCAAAACCATGAGCAATATATCACTGAAGGGGCCGCACTGCCGTCACGCGCCGGAACGAATTATCAGAACTTTAACCGAAAATAAATACATATTTACGTATTTATATATAGTTTAACAGCGCATTCCAATCCATGTTTTACCTTCGCATTTCTAAGCAACTCAAAGCCTCAGCGGAGGAGAGAGTCCCTTATTTATTTAGAGGCTGAATACAGTCTAAATAGATTGTGATACAGCGTTCGATAAACTGACAATAATAACATGCACGCTGTGTTTTTTTGATAACATTATTAACGCAGATGTCATGAAACAAAGAACTGATAACGCTAACATGTTTGCGTAATCGATCTTAGTTAAGACTAACACGAGTGGGAGGAATGTGCCGAAATTTCGTATTTTGACATCGATTTAAAGAATATGGTTCAGTTATGATCTGATAACGTGTTTAGCGATACGGTCCATTATTCGTTAGAAAAAACCTTAAAATTATATAGCTGGGGAAAAATGGTATTATAACTGTGTTAGTGACCTTCATAGACATAGTTAGTGGACGTCAATTTCCGGATCCGTCCTCATAGGCCGAATGACTGAAGTTCTAGCTTGCTCCAGATATTAGCAAGTCTTGTTAGAACATCACCGTGGTCAGGGAAACTTTTCAGCTTGCCCGGTGTGGATGTATACTTGAGTAACTTCGCAAACTTGTATGTGTGTTACCGTCTTCAACCTTGTAACCGAAGGTGATAAACAACCAGATTTGTCAAAACACTGCATGGGAACAAGCAGTGCGAACACTTAACAGTTATTCCACGAACTCGAGTCGAATATGAGCTGATAGCCGATGAGGCGCGTAACTGTTTTATTATATACACATGGTCTGCATTCACAGACTTTGTTTTTCGGATATTTTCAATATTTTTCTATTTTTTTAATGTTTTTTTTTATCTTCGCTCTTTCGGCCGATTATTTTTTCAAAAATATATATTTTTAACCATTTTAAATTTTAAAAATTCATTTGCTAAACTGTAAACAATTTGTGGGAGTTTTTTCATTGTGTTTTTAATCCTGTAAAGGCTATAAAAAGCGAACAACTTGCCGTTTTCTCATTCGCAAACGTCGGAAATTCAGTTTCAGCCGCCATTTTGTTTTTTGCTACTAGCAGGATATGAGCTAATATCCTGCTAGTA